AGCCCACCTTTGGACAAAGCAAGAAAGTCCATTATCCCAAAACCAAAATTATTCTGTGAAAGCCCCTTAGGACACTCTTCTCACCTCCCATTTGGGCCCCCATGACTGATTCAGGTGCTCTGAACACCACTAAGGAACCATGAGAAGTATAAATGGCCTTTGACATGAAACCTTCTCCTTTCTGTGCATCTTCTGAGCTGTCTACCACAGGAGGAAAAGCAAACCCACATTCTACAACTGTGTGACAGCTCTCACTGCCTGTCTGGAGGCAAGTTTGGGGCAGACTTTGTAGAAATAAACACTTTCCCCCAGATCTTCACAGTTTTGCTCCTGCAGAGTAAGCCAAACTTTGCTCTGATTTGCCATGAATATTCATGGCACTTCACAGGAATTGCTGACAGGAACACCATCTCCAGTGCTTGGGGTTTCCTTCAGTGACTGAGCCTCATCATTGCCAGGGGAAATTACTGCAGCTACTCTGAACACAGCAGTATTTATGGATAATCACTGCTGAGAAGTGGTTTAGCTCAGGAGGTGGAGGAGCCATTAGGAGGACCAAAATTAGGGAAGGAAACAGTAATGTACCCAAACAGACACTCCTGGCTTGTGGCCAAATTCCCTGGGCTCACTGTCTGATGTTCTTCACTGTCCTCACATCCAAAAAATGGGAGATCCAGAAAACCAGCCTGGATTGTGCCCAGCAGATCAAGTAGAAGGCTCTGGGTCCCACAAGCAGAGAGGCAAATCCTTCTCCCTCCAGAGATTCCAGCTCCCCCTTACCCACTCCCTGCCCTCAACCTTGGCAGGTAAAAACTGAATTAGTATGGAAGAAACAAGATATTTCTCTTAATCCAGAGCAGTCCTGTCCAAACACAGCTGCCAAGAGAAAAGCCTGTGATCCTTCCCAGGTGAGGTGTGATCAGCTGTGGGCACAAAGCACAGGTGGCAAAGCTGAACACAGGCACTGCAGCATTGCTTGTGGTGTGCTGAGATAACTGAGTGCCAAGAAAAGCTGAATCAAACATCAGCCAAGCAGAAGATATCATGCATCATCATTGAAGCATCATCCCAGAAGAGATTTTGTTATATTCTGTAGAAGAATAGCAGCTAAAACCCAGGTTGTGCTGCCTGGTGCTGGTTTGTAGAGCATGAAAGGTGCTTGTAATGATGAAGACACAAAATGCCACCTAAAATGAGGAAGAAGGAGATTCTTGCATCCAGAGGATGCTGCTCTGGCCACCTCTCAGCTCCCACACACAAAAGCATTAATATAAGACTTCACATCATGGCTTTGAAAGGACAGAAAATTGGGAGATTTTCCCCATTCATACCATTAGAAAGAACTTTTATTAGTTTGGGCCTACAGATATCAGCTTAAACAAATGATTGTTCCTGAAAGTCTTGCTGTACTCACTGAAGTGGGCTGTGAGGTGTCAAGGAGCACCCCTGTTACCATGGACAGAGGTTGCATCAGCCTCCCTTACAGGAGAATCACCTCTGAAAGCCCATTCGGCTCCAGTGCTGTCTGCATAAATCTTCCCCAAGAGGAAAATTTCCAGCTTCTCTTCCAAAAACTTCTTGGTCTTAAAAAGACAAAGGTGAAACAACATGACAAATGCCTGGCCTTGGCTGAGACCAAAATGCCTGTGCTGATACTGCTGTGCCTGCAGAAAGCTGTCCTTATGTGAGGGGGTAAATCTACCAAACAAGCCCTGAGATAATAAATAATTTAAGAGAAATTAGCCTAATTACTAAGCATGAGCTGCACCCTGTACTCCAGAGCAAAAAACACCCAAGGGCAGGCTCAGCCTCTCCTGAGCCTTTCCTCCTCTGCAGGATGAGACACTGGCCAAGTTCCCCAGTGCTTCAAAGGATCTGATTCCATCCATCTGGGACTCATCCCCTCCAAAGTGAACTCACATTGGACTCTTCTAAGGGTGAATGATGGAAGCTAGAGGACTGTAATTTGCTTTCTTTTGTGAATCCAAAGCTTATGTTCAGTACCTGGAGCTGGTGCTGTATGACCCATCATGAAAACGAAGTCATTTTCATAGTCCCTGCTTTCCTAGATGGAGTCTTTCATCTTTAAAGATGATCTATATTCTTTGTTCCTAACTACAAGACTTACTTGCCTTCACTGATGAAAACACTTTGAATAAATCTACTTCAAGCAGTCCCAATCACTTTGTATAACTGACTTTTCTAGCACTTTTTGTGTCAAATGCAGATTTTTTTTTCTTCCACTAACAAAATGATTAGAAGATTGGAATAAAAAAGATAAATTCCACAAACACTGCTAAGAAAGCCTTTTATGGTTTGGTTTTTTTTCCTAGTCCTTTTAGGAATAACCTATTTCACACAAACACAAAAGAAACCTTCCTATGAATAACAGAATATACTATTTTATGTAAATCACCCTATGGCCCTGACCATTTATTTGGCTTGAGGTGGCAGAGAATGCAATTAAACTGGAAAACATTTTCCTTGACAGAGTTACAAAATTAATTTTCCTCATCAGGTGTAGTACTGTATGATGAAGAGAAACAGCAGAAATGACCTGACAGGTAACAGAAGGTGGAACAAAGAAAAAGGAGAATTTAAAATTAAAACTCAATTTTGCAGCAGCCACAAGATTTTCTGGCAAATATACCAGGTAGAGCAACATGAGATTCCTGCCATGCCCTGGCAGGAGTAACTCCAGGGGTGTCTAGAAGATCCTAATTAGGTGAACAAAAACAAGTTTCATGCTGCTTCTTCCTCTGAGAGACATGCCGAGACCATGGGGATTGATGCAGCTCCACTGAGCAACACAACAGAAGCGTCTGTGGATGTGTGTGCTTGGGAAAAACACTCCCACAGCCACATCTGTGAGAGTGTGTCAGCCAGAGCTCCCAGCAAAGTTGTTTTATTGAAGTCCCTAAGCACTATTTCCCAAGTCAAAATCAAAGAAAAAAGTCAAAGCAAGCCTCTACAGTCAGTTCATGTCCAAGGGAGTTGTTACTCTTCATCTAAATAAGATTGAAAGATTACCATGAAGTTTGAGAAGAATATTAGAGACCACAGGCTGGTGTGTGCTGGCATTATGAAAAATGAGCAGCTCATTAATTCCAGCACTGTGCTCATTTCAAACCCATGCCAGGGCCTCGGTTTTGCAAACAGATGCAGTGCTGCAGATCTGGCCAGCACAGGATCAGAAATTCTCTGGACATGCAGGGAACAGAGGGACAGGAACACGGGGGGAAGGCTGAGGGCCACTCTGATGGTGCAAACATCATGACAGAACACACACACAGAGCTCAAAACCAAGCACGTTTTGCCCAGGACTGTGGTTAATTTGATTTTTCTTGCTAAAAGGAAAACAAAGTATCAATGGCTAGGTGAATTGAAAATGCACAATGAAATACTACCACTATGATCTTCAGGGTATTTGATGTCTAAAGTATAAAAAGCCCTCTAAAAGACACTTAAAACCTATAAAAAAAAAATAAACAAAAAAAACAAAACTGAATAGAGGAAACAAGAAGAAAGACAGGGAAAAAAAAATATATATACCTAGAATAAGAGTGCTCACTAAAAGTATACTCACAATGAGTAGTGAATAAAATCCAAGCCCTATTCAATTTATTATTGTAATACATATGAAATTAGGAAAATAGGTTAACAGAAGACCCTTACCCCGCATCAATGAGCATACCTAAAACCAGCTATCTTGATTGTCCAAAGGACAATCTCAATGAAGAATTTATCACGTTTGTACCTCTAAGAGTTATAGTCAAATTTGTGGTTTAAACATTCCTGAACTGGCGGTCAGAGGGTTTGAGATCCTTTCAGAGATATTCTTTGATGCACATCCCACCTTAAAAGGATTTTTCCAAAGCTTAGATCAAATTTTAGACCATCTCTGTGAAAGAGGAAGAAAATCCCAGGTATTTTTTTCATTCCCTGCATGGCATTTTGCAGTCTGTTCACATGTTAATGCTGATGCTTAGAGAGGCTGCCTGGAGCAGGGGCTAGACAGAGTTAAAGGAATAAAGTAGGGATTTATTAAAAGGCCTTCAAAGGATACACTTGGGCAGTGCAAGAGCCTGGCCAGGGCTACACCCAAGATGGACTCTGAGTCACGAGTTTTCACACTTTTTTAACTTTTGGTCCATTTCCATAGTGGGGTTAATTGTCCAATTACAGCTTCAGGTTATGAAGTCCCATCCTCCCAGTTTGCTCTCCTCAATGCACTGGTGTTTACAATTTTTGGGCATTTTTTGCAATGGTGTCCTTGGTTCTCAGGCTGGAAAAGATTGTTTTGTCTGACTAAGCTGTGAGGAGAACTTACTAACACTTTATATGAAGTTCAGAGCCACACACTGAGGCAGTACAGAATCTGAAAAATATGAAAGCTAAAACTTAAGGCATCAATGTGTCTGTGGATGAACACCTTCCTCTTCAGGTAACTGTCCCACAAATTGAAAAGCTGACTGAGGAATAACACTGTAATGCAAAGTCTAATTCAGTATGATGACTTCATACTGATATGATGACTTCATTTATTTTCTTAATTAAAAAAATAGAGGCAGCAGTTTTTTTCCAGTAAGTCAGTAAATATTTTGGTATTTTTTAGAACTAACATACCTATGATAGTTGGTGTGCTAAATATGACTCCATTTCATTGTTAGTATTGTCCCAGTAGCAAAGAATGACTCAAGCTTTATGTAGCACTATTTTGCCAGAGAAAAAGAAGCCTTTTACATTTCTTCTTCCATTGCACTGCTGGTTTTGTAACTCCCACACATAGTCAGTCTATAAAACCACACATCTTAAAAACCTTTGCACAGATACAAACACTGCAGCTCAGCCTGAATAGATGAGTGAAAAACCACAAAATTGCTTCAGTGTGAGCTGCAATATTTAACGCCTCAAGACTGTTTTCAGCTGCAAGCCCAAAAGCATTTCTGCTTTTGCCAGGACAGACACCACTGTTGTGCCCACCACTGCCAAATACTCACTGTGAAGGTTCTGGGCGATGTTCACTGCCCACTCCTCCGGTAAGGTCCCAGCTCTGGAGATCTTGGAGCACTTGAGCTGACTGGAGAGGTCTCGGGACTCAAGCCAGCACAGCGTGTCCTCCCTGTAGCTGTAGTCCAGGGTCACCACTGCAGATCCCTTCACAGGGCTCCAGGCAGACATTCTGCTGCCATTAAGGTACAAAACCTCAATCCTTTCAGGGCTTGCAATCAGAAGAAGAGGAGGTATATCAGCAGGCTCTGAAAACAAAGTGAGGAGAGTTTAAAGGATTAACAGGCTGCGTATTTCATTTTTATCTTTCTGGTTTTAATGTAGTTTTTAATGTTCTTACCTGCTTGTTTTAAGATATGTAATAAATTGGTTTTGTTTTTATTTTCATAACTATCATATATTCCCAATTATTAGTCTATTTTATCCTGCTGTTCCAATGGTTCACATCATTAAAGAAAATTAATTACCCCAGCCCCATAGCCTCTGTTTAATTCCAAGTATCATTATTGCAACATTTTTCATGCCTAAGTCATAAAATGAAATACAACTTATGCAAATTATCTCTATCCAGATTACTGGAATTTCAAAAAGAATTAAGGCCAGAAAAACCAGCAGAACTCGAGGACACATGAAATTGTAAGATGATTTTCATATAAGAATCTATAAAATAGGACAAAATCTGAGGAGTGGGTGCCACTCAAAGAAGTTATAATCAACCTGACAATAAATCCAGTGCAGTGAAACCTTAAAGCACAGAAACTCTGTAATTTCAGGCACATGTGAAAAAAAAATTGTGTTGCCACATCAGGAGCTCTCACCCCAATGTAATCTGCTTGTTTTCAAAGGAATACATCAATGTTTGAACACTGCATTGACATGCAGCACTGTCAATCAACATTTCACCTAATGGAGTTCTCAGATTTTCTCTAAGCAGTTCCAGATGTCTAAATGGTGGAAAAAAATGGCATAAATAAAAGGATTTGACAAATGGTACTTCATCAGCAGGTCTGATTAAAGAGAAAAGAATCTTGCAATGAGTACAGTGCTCAGTGGTCTCACCCAAAGGCACAGCAATAGGTGTTCTGTTCTTTGGTAATATCTGCTTTATTTAACTATCTTGCTGCTCTCCTTTTTTAAATTGATTTTGACATGTAAAAGAAAATATTTCTATAAAGCTTCAGTGTGTATTCTTTTGAGGTTGGATTTCATTTACTACTTATTTATTCTCATTCCATAACGTTCATTCTGTCTTGTTACACATCTTGTCCCTCTCCAGTAAATCCCACATGAACATTTGTAAATCCACACTTCTGCAGCATTACTTTTGGAACTTACTGCCTGTCCTCATCCTCACATTCACTTCCACCCATCAGATCAGATCCAAGTATTATTTGTCTTTGAATTTCAGAAGATACTCAAGAACTGCAGGGATTGAATTTCTTTGCAAAACAATCTCTTGTGGTGTAAGCCATGAGTGAGGCTCTCAAGTCTTGTTTGTTTTATTCCTTTCCAAAAGATAAAGTAGTGGAGGGGAGGGGGTTTCTCACTAAGCAATTTTTTGTTTGAAATGTGCCAGGTAGGTCCCTTTGCAGTCACTGCCTATGAATCTCTTTCCCCTTGTTCTTAGCAACTTTTGCAACCCTTAAGAAGAAAGGCAGATTTAGGAACTTCTGTCCCTATCACCCACTCACCCCAGACTGGTACAAAAGGAGGGTTTCCATCTGCATCCTGCTGAGTCCGGGGATTTATTTTTACATCCATCAGCTCTCTGCCCAGCTTTTCTCCCCCCACAAAATAACACCACTGCCTACCTCTATTCAATCACTCTTTCCCCAGCTCCCAGCAGTGTGGAAAGACCTTTATTATGATTTTTGCTCTTATTCTGTGTGTTAAGCCGGATATTTCCACATTCTGCAGTATCTAAAGCCTCAAAGAGAAGGCAGCTCACAGGAGCTGTTTGCAGTTTCAAAGCCACCAGGTGGGTTTAGGGCTGGGAGAGAGAACCAGATCCTCGCTTTGAACTGACCTCTTGAAAACTGTAACGAGGATTTAATACCTCACTAAACTCCAGAGAAAGACCCTAATACCAAAATACAGCCTAAGACATAAAGGAATTCTTAAAAGGAATTCAGTTCAAACCTCTTGAGCAGCAGTTGTAATCAAACCTGGCTGCAGACAAAGGTGTTGTAAGGACCTGTGGCATTGCCAAGGGGTTCTGCTCAGCAGGCACCATTACACATTAAAAACACAGAAACTGGATTACTGGGCTTGAAATTGTATTTTTAAAGCATAAATACTTTAAATAATTCAAAGGATTAAAGCAGTTAATCATGGTTTTGCACAGTAGGGTAGATTACCTGCTTTTTCAGTGTTGCTCAGATAGAGGCTGATTTAATAATTTGAAAAATATGATATATTGATAATAAAACTGTGCAAATTATTAACATTTCATAAAAAATGCATAAATCAATTTACTGTATAGCATAATGCAGATGACAAACACAAGATACCAAAAAAATAATGTCTTCACTCTCACAAAAACTACTTGTCTGTTTCTGGAGAACAGATTCTACACAGCTTAAAAGTTTACTGGACAAATTTAGGGTGAGTTCCAGTGAGCTGACAGCAGCTTTTCAAACAAGTGGACTTCATGTGTGTTATTTTCACAAGTTTTTCTTCCTTTTTTTTTTTTCTTTATTTTTCATTTTATAGGAAAGATAAGACGTGAATAGCTCTTTAATCCAGGGAAGTTTTATGATTCATCCTTCTTGACTAAAATGAAAGCATCTTCCTTTGAATTATGTTTAAGATAGAGTAGTGGAAAAGATGAAAGGCTTGTGTTCCCCTCCTACCTGATCTTGTCTAAAACACAGATCAATAAGTGATGCCACAACAAATCAGAAATGAAGGTGTTTTGCGCTGCCAACAGACTTCTCATCTGAAAAAAAACCTCAGAAATGCCAGCATTTTCTAGTATTTCCACCATAATAAACCCCAGAATTCAAGGTTTATAAACAGATTCAACCCCTTTTTCCTGGGGTATACATTGTAAATCATAACAGCTTTGCTGTCACCAATGTCTGTATTGTATAAAAATCTGAAAAAATAGAGAGAGGACCAATTTTTTCTACATTATTTTTGAAGTTTAACCATAATGTACCTCACAAATTGGCTGTTTTATTTCTAAAGTTTAAAACTTAGTTTGGTGAGATTTTACAAGAAAATTGTATTATTAAATCAGTTAAACGGGGCTGATTTTTTTTTTCTGAAAGGTAAATTTTATTTTTTTCTTTAGTCATTATCAGTTCATCCCATTTTATCTACATGACAAATGTTTTTTACCACACAGCATTTCTCTCTAGATTGGCTTTGGAGATATAAAACATACCAGGAACTTTTTTAAAACAGGTGAATTTCTTTCCCTCAGCTATATATTCCCAAATCTGCAATTTTCTTTCCTTAAATATTCTTCTCATCACATGCAGACTTTGCAATTCAGGCATAAAAACTTGGTAAACAAGTAAGTTCTTCAATTCTGTTCAGCAAAGCTGTGTTTTGTTTCATTTTCACCTCAGAAGAAACCATTAACTGCCTCTTTATTCATAGAGGAAAATAAGCTTTAAAAATCTGGAAAAGACCCACAGTGAGCCCCGAGCTGTTTTGATACCATTTTAACATCCTTCCCAAAGGGAATGTGCAGCTAAAAGCTTTCAGCTCCGGGGTTATTTAATTGTGCTGAGGAAGAAAATGCAGAATTTAATGAGGGAGAGACCTCACCACCTTCCCAGCCGAGCGTTTGGCTGCCTGAAGGGCAGCAAAAAGCAGATTTTGGGGAGTTCTCTGCTAATTGTGCCACCCCACATGGGCAGAGGTGGTTGAGAGGGGACAGCAGCTGATGGACCTGTGGGTCACCACTGTCCCCAGGGCAGGGCTCCTGCAGTACCAAGTGTCACCTGCTCAGCACCTCACTGCTCCTTGTGGGAAAAACAGGAAAGGTAAGAAGACTTCTAGAAAGCTGTGAAAGCAGGACTCCGAAACAGAAAGGGTAAAGACCTTACAGCTAGCTGTAGTTGTAGAGTCTGAAAGTAGAAAAGTTACAGTAGTACAGCAAGCAAGGACATGAAACAATCATTTGAGTTTTAGGCTTGGCTAAGATAGACCTTAAGACTACAGAAAAACAGTCTACAGAAGAGTAGAGAAAAACTTCTACAAAAATATGCTTAGCAAGATACTAGAAGGTTTTGAGCTTAATAATGGAGTATTATATACTGTTAATAGAAGGCATACAAGCAAGCAGTGTGTGAAGCAGGTGCACACATATTTTAGTGATTGGCAAGAGCAATGATCTGTAAAATTTAGCAATATTCCATTGGCTAGAAAGTTTTCTAAATGCTCCGTAACAAATCTTTGAATGTTTTGAATCTTTGGCTGCTTCTGGCAAGATGTGAACTTTTGCCATCTTCCAACTGTCTCAACCATGCAGTGGGGCTGATGCCACACTAAAGCTCAAGGAACTTATCCCAGCACTCCCATTCTGTGTGTGCAAACCTCCAACACGCTCCTCAGTGTTCAGAAACCTCCCAGGTCATTCCCAGAGCCAGCTGGGGTGTGGTGGTTTGGTGTTCTGGGTTGTGTCGTGCCCAGGATCTCAGCACGGATGGCGATTCATATTCGGAGCAGATCTGCTGTTATTAACGTTGAAAGCTCCACAGATCGCCCAGCCTACACCTCTAGTGCTGCTTCTTATCTCTCACAGCTTTTGCACACAGAGCTGAATGTTCCTCAGCTCATTTTCTTCATCTGTTTGACAACTACTTTTGCCAAATGTCGACAAAGCAGAGAGGTTGCTCTTTTCCCATCCTTATTTGCTTTAGGTTCTTTAAGGACAAAGATTGATAGGTTTTCTAAGGGCTGGGTTGCTTTTTTCCTCAGACACCTGGTTTTGTTTTTCTTGGATTCTGTTCTTCTGATCCAGAGCTACCTTTTTTCAAAAAAAACCCAAAGTAATGGGGAATACTCATTTCTGTGCAGCCCCATGGCCCTGGTTTGTATTGTCCTACAGGGATTTCTTTGATTAATGAGTAGTGATTCCTTTCTGAGAACACCAGAAATGTGAAAACTTCTGTCAAATAAACATGATAAAGTAGCAAAAACTACAGAGAAGTTCCTTATTAATGAGATTTGTTTCATCTTGACACCAAGAGCTAACTACAATGCTCAGCTGTTACACAGTTTTCTGTGTGTAAAAAGGGAAACCAAAAGAGTAATCTCAAGCCCACAACTGGCACCATGAGGATTTCCTGATCTAGAATTGCATTTTTGATTTTCATAAGGTGGAGAAAGAAGAATAATAAATTATTTTTACTTTTTATGGGCTTTCTTATCCCACAAGACTTCAGGATCTTTTTTTAAAAAAATGTCCATGTATGGGTCAAGAAAAAACATTATAAGCAGGGAAACACTCTAACTCTTAGTGGTGATCAATTAAGGACACATTTAGTAATGCTCTTTAGGTGAGGAAGCCTCAAAACCATCACCAGACCTTTCTATTTTCTGATGGCAAAATACATAAAGGAAGCCTTAAAATGATATACAATGAACATGACTTCATACTCAGCTGCACATGCTTCAGTATTGTGGCTGTTGAAGAATTCCTTAAGGAACTTTTTTTGTGTTTTAATATGAAAGCATTGTTAATTCATTATGCTGAATAAGAAAACACTGTGTACTATATTGCCTCATTAAGCACAATTGACTAATTTCCTCAAATACCCAATCCACTATAAGTAATGAAAACATGCACTAAGCAACAAAAAGCCTCATGTGAATATGTATATCAGGAAATTCACCTCTTGGGATGATGCAAGGACAAAGCAATCTCATGTCTTTTTTCATCCTAAGGGTACAATTACCTCATGATCATTTCCCCTGTCTCCATTGTCTTCCCAGGGTAAACAGGCTTTTTTGTTTGTGTGAGGAAAATCTTTGATTTATTTATGAACAGGGAAACTGGGAACTCTTCTAATCTTGGCTGAATTGAGTATTTTGCTTTAATTAATAATATCCAGATAATAACTTTTGATATTTCCCTTGGAGTATTGTCTTAATAAGTGAAAAGTTTTTTTTGTAAGCTTGTTGTGCAGCTCTTTGTAGCGGAGTGAGGAAAGTTCATCTCACCTGTGCTCATCTCTGTCTTTTCACATGAATCCTCCAGGACCAAACCACAAAATATTTTCAGGAAGGTAAAAACAAGTTAAAACTTACTATTTTTGGCCTTGCAGGACTTGTTATCGGGCTGAAGCACATAACCCTCCACACAGCTGCACGTGTAGGATCCATCTGTATTTACACACATCTGGCTGCAGCTTCCATACGTGTCACATTCATTCACATCTAAAGGGACATGAACAAGATCTAGTTTAGGGATTAAGAAGAAAAAGAAATTCAATAAAATTGAGAATTCTGAGAGATTTTTAAGTCATGAATCATTTTGGTGGGAGGCCTGATGTTTTTCCTCTCTCAAACCGTGAATTTATCAGGGATGTTGGCTGTTGAAATCACTCAAGTAGCCAGAAAGAAGGGCAGGGTTTTCAAGTTCAATAGCTCTTAATTTTCAAAGATAAAACCTTCATTATTTCAAGTAGTCTCCGATGCCTGCATCATGTTAGGGAGACATTTGGGTCCTTGTTAGCAATAGAGATCACCAGTTATCAGGGTTGATGAATGGAGCAACATTTCAGGAGAGGAAGTAATTGATTACCCTTCTCAACCTATTTATGCTGGCAATGTCTTACAGGTCCTTAAATGAGCTGTCACCACATCTCCATTAAACCACCATCCAACATCAAAAACTATATTCTCCTCTAATAAATACAAAGAACATTTTTCTCAACTAGGGTGTATAAAAATAATACCATAAAATCAAGATATGCTATTTAACAGTGGCTGAGGGTTTAAGTAATAAACTGACATTCTAAAAAACCTGCTATTTAAATTATTTCCTGGGATATATTTTTAATCACAAAACATGACAACCATAGAGAGAAAGAACTTATAATAAATTATATTTATGAAGAATCTGGCTCAGTACTTTTAGTTGGAGAGAGGAGTGATTGGTAGTGAGAACATCCATAGGGCCATAGAACTCCAATATGATTATTAATGGAGAAAAAAAAAAAAAAAAAGCAAGAAACAAACACCAGGACAGAGAATGAAGAAGTCATACATTTCAAAAATGGAAGAGAATAGTCTACAATTTTAGTCTACAGTTTCAATCTACAATTAATTACTCCAAAATAACATTCCCACCTAAGTTGTATGACCTTGGGAGGGTTTGTTTGTCAAATTCTAATCTAGGTGTGTCTTTATGGCCATGAGGTGAAACACTGCAAGTTTTAGAGGCTCTCCTGGTGGGGAGGTGTGGACAAAGAGCAGCTCACACAACTGAGCTGTAGCTCCAGAACTGCTCCAGTCCAGCTGAGCTGTGGGAAATGATAAAGGTTAGATGATGCTTAAAGTAAACATTGTTTGAAGCAGGTAGAGTTGTACTTTTAGTGCTTGGCTAGAAAAATTGTCTGTAAGCTTTAGCAATATGCTATTGGCTAGAAAGTTTTTAAAATACTCTGTAACAAAGAAAAAAAAAATCTTTGGCTGCTGGCAGTACGTGAGCTGTTATCTTCCAATTGTCTCAATCACACAATGAGGCTGATACTGCAACAAAGCTCAAAGAACACATCCCAGCAGTCCCATCCTATTCATGAAAAACCCCAACACACTGATCCTCCAGTGACATCAGGGGAGCTGCTGCTGGGGCACAGGAGCTTGAGAGAGTCAGGAGGGAGGTCCTGACTCTCATTTTAGGGGCACTCAATCCCATTCCCTGCCCCAGAAGCCCAGGCTAGTCCCTGACAAAAGCCTTTGAAGAAGGATGAGGAAGCAACATTGCTGCTCTGGTTGTTCACCAGCTCCCTGCCCCTGAGAGCCACGAGGGAGCCATGGAGACACGTGGGTGTTGATGTTACACTGAATTTCTCGTTTACCTGTGCAGCTTCTCCCGTCACTGCTTGTTTCGTACCCGTCCCCGCAGTAACAGCGGGTGCCGTTCCTGGTGATGGCACATCTGTGCTGGCAATTCATCTGCTGGCACTTGGGGAGCAGCTCTGGGAATGGTAACACAGCAAGATGTTACTAAATATTTGTGTTATTCTTAAATCTCAAACTTTAGAAACACTGAAATATATGTAAGTGCATGATTCAGGAAGGAAGCACCACCACCATTTACATTAGCTGGAAATATATCACACACACCCTACAAAGGGCTTGTTATGAAAACAGCATGTCAGAAAGTTAAACATTAGAAATCAACATTTTATTTCTATCAAGAGTTGGTCACAAGTTTATAATTGAGGTGTACTGTTTGCCTAAACATACATTTTGTGCATGTTAGTCATAACAACAGTTGGGAAAAAAACAAACCAAAACAAAACAATCCTGAAATGGTAACAGTTATAAAAAACAGATTATGAGAAATATTTCAACATCTATGCCTTTTTTATTCTTCATACCAGTTGATTTTGTAACTTTTTAAAGCTTGTTTTGATTCAATGATGCAACAAAACCTTCACACCAAACAATGGGGATACATTCTAACTCAATAATTTAACATTGGACATGTATTGCTGGATAAACCCATGGAGATTATATATGTCATTACTGCAGACATCCTTCATAGAATCTGCTTAAGCACACACCATCAGCACAAGGCATGGTGCAAACAAAGTGTAGAAATCTTGTAGAAATAAAGACTGCAATGTTTTCCAGAATGAAACAGCACAAAACCAAACAAAAGCCACTCCAACTCTTCCCAGCCTCAAGCTGCATTCCATGTTTCAAGAATTTTGCTGATCAAAAAAACCCCTGCTATTTTAATGAACAACACTTTTTTCCCTCCAGGAAAATGAAAAAAAAAAAAAAAAAGATTGAGAAACCCAGCTGAAGGAGGTGTTCTGAGGGTATTTTTCTAAACTATGCAGATGAGTCAGAAAATAACCTGCAAACGGAGAGAGAAATTTCTGCTACAGGGCTGCCTTTAAGTAACTGGGTATGACCTAAGGAAAAAGAGAAATCTGTATCCTAATATGTGAACAGTTTTAATCCATCTGATCATTATTCATTGAGTCCTACTTGGGAGTAGAATGAACATGAAGATGAAGATTTTTTATTGTGACATACAGTTTTTGGCCCCAGAAATTTTTGTTCTGTTGCTGATCTGCTAACCCTGCCAGGGGAACCCATAAGTGAAAAAGCAAAAAATACAATAACAATTGAGGGCAAAAATAGATAGAATATAACAAAATAGAATAGAATAGATTAGGAAAGACTATTTCATTTGAAAGGGATCTACAATGATCATTTAGCCCAACTGCCTGAGCCCTTCAGGACTCACCAAGAGTTAGGGCGTGTTATTAATGCCTCTACCTGATGCCTTTAATAAATAAAACATTAAACACTAAAATAGCAAATGTATTTTCTACTTTACTAGCTAGTTTGTAATAGCTGCAATAGTGATCCTGAAAACCTTTGGAAGAAAACAGAGTTTGACTGCCTCTGGCAATGTTTGAAATATTGAAGGACAAGCTATGGAAGACAGTGTATACATTTAAGGCTTGGTTAGATTTGTAACAGGTTTCTTGGGAAGTGAGGAGGCAAAGAAAAATCATGAAGCAGAACACTGATATTTTTAATGCTCCAGCTAGGACATTTAAAGAGATAAAAGCCAGGGACTGTCATTTCTTGTCTTCTCTAAAATTCTGCACCCACTTTGATCTCCCTTTCTCAGTGAGAACTGGTTTACAAAGTACACAGGCAGTGAAGAATGAGCATCACTGAGCTTTCCACTTTCATCACAGCTACAGAAACCGCTGCATTTGTCAAAGCCTGGTATTTCTGCTGCAAGATTTAAAGGAAGGAGCTGCACTGAAGGAAACAACAGGAGAGAGCTTTACAGCTCTCTGGCAGAGCCACAGTTCAAGACAAGGAGCTGCAGAGCAAGCCGTGAGATTTGCAGAAATACAGGATAGCAGAAGCAGCTGTGAGTGTCTTTAGGATGATCTACTTTCCCCAAACCCAGGGAGTAGTGACAATTCATCCAACTCTGATTTAGGTCATTGTGTTCAGTGTTTTCTTTCTTCCACAGGAGACATGAAGGGCAGCATTTTTTACTTCCCTACATCTCCATGAACTCTCTGAAGTTGTGATCCAGGTCTGCCACAAAAGCCACCCTGCTTTCTCAAAGACACCCATGCCAATCTTATGCTTCTTGGTTTTCATGCTGCTCTAACTGCCAGGCAGCTGGTCCCACAGGAGAGCAGTCAATCAGGCAAAGATGCTGCTGATCTCATCTCCCCTAAAGTGATACACCTTTGACAATGACTCAGAGGAGCTGTAAGCTTCCCGGACAAACTGCTCCCACAGGAATTTGCCATAATAAAATCCTGTCTTCATTTATTCCTTCTGTGTTCAATGAAACACACTGCTTATCACAGCTCATTCAAGATGAATGATATAAGGAACTAACTTCTCCTGAATGGCTTTTTAATGAAAGATTTAAGCAATTGATCTGACTATCCTTTTTGTCAGCTCCTCCTGAGCTGACATGAGGTTCACAAAGGGTTCACACCAGGTTCTCATGCTCAGATATTTTGGCTGTTTCTACAAAGGGGAAAAGAAGCTCAGCTTGCAGCTTCTTAATACTGATTTTATTTATTTGGTGGCTATTGGGGACTGTCAAAAAAAAAAAAAAACAACCCACACAAAAAAAAGATTTACCAATGTACCTGTTTGTCACAGTTGAGACAGCCACAATACACAGAGTATCACCATACAATTCCAGAAGGCTTCCACCCATACAGAGTAACACCACAACTCATCAGAAGGCTTCAAGCATCTGCCCTTCTTGTTCTTTAGCCCAACCTTTGGTACCCCTCATGTTCATGCACTGCACCCGTGTGCCCTCTGCTCCCTTTGTGGTTGGTCAGTGCCCCTGGGCACTCCATGGCTCACTGCTGTCAGTGCTGCTCAGCTGCTGCTCACAGCTGTGCCCACTGGGGATGAGCTCACCCCAGCCCACTCCCAATCACCACAAACTGTGTTCCTACACCTGCTAGCTTTGTCTTTCCTGACAGGGAAAACAACCAAGGCCAGGCTGAGCAGCCTCATCAGGTGGAAGGTGTCCCAGGCCTTGGCAGGGCGGTGTGAGAAGCAGAGATGGACTGTAAGGTCTCTTCCAACCCAAACCCTTCTGTGATTCTGTATGACCATATGACCACTTGAGACACACACACAGAGAAAAATATATTTAGCTGTCATTATTTCTGAACCTCCTGCATGATAATAAAGCCTTTTGGCTGCCAATGGGTTCCCAATTATGTTTCCTATGTACTTCTGTAACATATAAATCCTGTCCTGCTCTTTTTGTAGTGACAATATATACTGGAGAGTACTGACAACATTTCAGTACTCTGTGAATTAAAATTTACTGACTATGTAATGTTGATAAACATCAAAAATACAGAGCTGGTGCATATAAAAGAAACTGGCTGAAGTTTAGATGTTGAAAGTGTCAGACAATACACCAGGGGGATAAAAGCAGAGCTTCTGTTGTCAGTTCAGGGCTTCCCAATTTGAAACAACAAAGGATCCTTGTCACATAGTTCATCAGAGAGTGACCAGGAGCTACCAGTGCAATGCTGCCTGGGAAAAAGGGAAATGCATCACTGAGAGCACTGGGGGAAATGTTTTCCAAAGAGAAGACTTGATGTCAAGGCCCAGGATGCTCCTGAGTGCTTCCCTTGCAGGAGGCATCCTGCTGGCAGCTGTGCACACCCCAATGGATCAGAGGAGAATAAACTCAGCTTCAAGCAGAATCACAGGGATTAGCAGGGGAATGGAGAGCTGCAATCTGATGGGGAGACTGTAAATTTTCATCTTGATTGGTGCCAGGGGATGAAAATGAAGAGGAATTAGGACTGCTGTCTATGAATATATCAGAGGATCAACAGCAGGGAAAGAGACAATTTAAACTAAAGGGCTATTGGCAGAAGTACAAATGAGTATAAATTGCCCATTAATAAATTCTGGCTGAAAATGAGAAGGTTCTTAGCTATTACCATAATCAGGTTCTGGAACTCCTCTTTGAGCAGGAAGAGCAGGGACAGAAAATAAGTGCTTGCTTTTGACATGGATCATGATAGACCAAGGAAAACCAGCATATGGAAAGGGCCCTGAAAGATCAGAAACCATTTATGTGACCCAGGAGGCTCCTTCACTGTGCTCCTCAAGCAACATACTACCTGATGCTAAAACACAAGTTTTCATGATGGAACTAAGATCAACCTTTTTTTATTTTTTTTTTTTTTTGTTCTGTTTTGTTTTTTTCCTTGTATCTGAAATATACTAAAAGGAAAACTTACAGGAGCTTGTTACGCTACTATTTTTCAAATTGAACTCTGTGCATTCTCTTTTTTTTTTAAATATTCAAGTTCTCTTTGGCACCTTTGTGTTTCATAAATTTACTTGATTTTATCTCTCTGTTTTATTCAGTTTTTGTGATTCAATATTCATACACTGATGTCTAGACTATTCTTATCACACATATGCCATAAGCCTTATTTTTCTTTTCTGGCTTATGTTTTGAGTTTTTGAAGAACAACCCTTTCATAAATTAGACTTTGTTGTAATCTGCTGTAAGTTTTTGTTTGTTTGCTATTGTTGATGCTAGAGAGACAATATAAAGCTCCATGGATTGCTTCTCTGGCAGAAAAGGGTGACTTGATTGATAGAATTCAACTACTCGACTGAAAGAATGCAGCATGTTTTTATCTTACATTTGTTGGTCATGTTATTAGTTTTTAATATCTTACCATAAAAGCAAAAAAAGACAGAACTGTAATGAACTTTGTCAAATACCTCAGCCCATAAACTCTGTTATGGTACATGAAGTACAGAAAAAGAAACATGGAAATCAGAGATCATGACCTTACAGCCCTGCTGTGGGTGACCTCTGTCAGAAAAAAAAAAAAAAAAAAAATTGCAGAAAAGCACAAGGAGTCAAATTTAATAATGTTGGGATTTATTAGCTCCTAGGGAAAAAA